TTTGCACTAAGTTTCAGTTCCTTGGGTTAAAAAAACAAAACAACAGAGAGAACATAAGATGACGGCACAGACTTTACAAAAAATCTCAAATTCTCAGACATTCTGCACAAATAATTGTATATATACATGACATGTTTCAGGGCAAACCGCAACCCTGATGAAAAAAATCCAACTCCTAGTTTTTTTTCTTAATTGGAGGATAACTACTTTATAATATTGTGCTGGTTTCTGCCATACATCAACATGAATCAGTCACAGGTACTTCTAGACCTTTTGATCTGAAATTCAGGGCACTGAAATTGACTGTTCTGAACTTCTTCTGAGGGCAGGAGATGCATAAAGTGGGGCTGGAGGTACACAAGGCGTACAGACAAGTTTGGGAATGAACATATACCTTCATCAAAATTCAAGATCAATGACAATGCTGTGGCTGTGGAGGACTAAATCTATCTGCTTGAGATTTAGCAGGAGCCCGAGAGGACAGGGCTTCCCTGGTGGCTCCGTTGGTAAAGAATCTGCTTGCAATGTAGGAGACCTGGGTTTGATCCCTGGGTTGGGAAGATCCCCTGGAGGAGGGCATGGCAACCCAGTCCTGAATTCTTGCCTGCAGAACCACCACGGACGGAGAAGCCTGCTGGGCTGCAGTCCATGGGGTTGCAGAGAGTCGGATACAACTGAGTGACTAAGCACACACAGGAGAGGACAAGAAGCTGAATGACCAAGGGCAGCTGCTGAGGTTCCGGCGCAGGCGTGATGGTGCCCAGGCAGAGCTGTCCTGCATACCAGTCTCCCTATCCAGCACTGGTGTGTTAAGGGCAAAGAGGGCCATGATGGGGACACAGGGAAATCTGCTCACAAACTGCTCAGGATTCCTCCCACACCTCATGGCCCAGTTTTGCACAGAGGTGTCTGAGGTGCCCACCTGCTGATTTACACCTCTGTCTGCCAAATCTTCCTCTGAGGCGGTCTGAAAACTGGCAAACTTTTAAAAACATTTTCCTCCCTTTTCTTAAGGTTCTGTTGACCAAACTGTAAAAATAAGTGAAACAAAACACAAACACCCAGAACAAGACCCACATTTTTATCAGATCTACTTTTATTTCAGAAGGAAGTTTGTATTATAGTATTTACTTCTGTTTATATACAAGTTCTTCACATTTATTTTTAAAATGCACAGACCTCCCTTAGTTCTCTTGTTCCTGCTTAAATTAGCTGTTATTTTACAATACAAAAAATACCAAAAAATTGCAGTCCTAAATGTATGTATAACACCCACAATCCCCAGCAATGAAATAGTTTACAATACTTACTCCATATTTACATGAGTGCAATATATGCTAAATTATACATATTAACAAACTAAGCTTGAATCCAAACCAAAAACTCCCCAAACAAAACTGTAAATAACTATAAAACATTTCCAGAGCCAGAATTAGTTAAACAAAACAGGCTTCACTAGTGTTTAGAATGTTTTGTGCACAAATTCAGTTACTGAAAGTCAATTCCATTATTGCCTTTAAAAGAGAAGGCGCCAGTTTTCCTCTCCAACAAATCATCTCCCTGCAGGTGAAGGTGTTCATGAATTTGGACAACTCAGGGGAAACATCTCTTGGTGGGCGTGGCTATCTACAAACCATGATGGTGATTTTTATGGTTTGAGCCATTTGGTAAACTGAGTAAATATTTCAGGCTGAGAGCCGGTGCACGGTCCAAGGCTGGACCCTCTGCCTTCCTGGGTCTGTCCTCAGGTGGCCAATTTTCACAGAAACCACTGCAACGAAAGGTCTCCTGGGATGACAGGTTTGAGGAGCTGGATTCTGCTGTAATTCTCAAGAGCTGCTTTTCCATCTGTCACTGTCCTAGTGTTAGCTTGTCAGTTAAGTACTTAGTGAATATTTGTTGAATCATTCCCACACCCTCTCTAAATACACTCTACTAAATTGAAGGAGCAAGATTTGCACTGAAAGGTAAAGTGTCTTTTTCTAAAACACCACTCTGGTCTTTCCATTTGCCCCAGATTTCCTGGTGCATCTCCACTCTTGTTACCTCAGACCTTACCCACTGATATTCCAGTATTTTCCCTATGCTGACAGTCTCTGTCCAGGGCTGCTTTTCTTCCAGGTTAGCTCAGGCAGTATATGGTTGCTCTCTCTCCACACCTCCTCCCACATTTAGAGGTGATCCTCAAAGGAAACAAAGACTTCTCCCCAAACAGTATGGGAAGGGGGCAGGAGGTGGGCAGGAGGCAAGGGTGAGGTTCTCCATGGGGAAACAGGAGGAGCTAATTATCAACGAAGCAGCTGCCCACTCCCACCCCCAGTTTTCAGTATAGTTAACTATGGTCCTAGGAAATGGTCATCAAAAATTTACACAAAATCATAACAAGATGCAGCCTGAAAAACCCCCTTTTTGAAAATCTGACTAGATCTACAGTATAGCCTTTGTATCTTAAGTCTAAGAGAAACATTTCTCAGGATGAGACTGGTCTTTTCCCGGCTACCCACAGCACCAAGAGGCTGACAGGAAGATTTACAGTGCACTTGCAGAGCTGATGACAGTGACAGAGACATTCCAGCTGCCAGCGAGCCTCTTCACACACTGCCCACATTTTCATATGTGCACTGACAGATGAGTCCTGCTTTAAAAGTTATCCAATTGGTCCCAGATGCATTTGAACACATGGGCACAATGCGGATGCCTTTCTCGGCTTTATCATCACTGTACGAGAGGACTTCTCTGAGCCTGGATATCCATTATATGGCACAAAAACACATTAGGTCAAACTTGGACACCGTTATGTTTAATAAAAATACATTAAGATATTTTTGTTTTATGTACACTCTGAACGTCCAAACATTCGGACACTATTGTATAGTTATGTACAAGTGCAATATCTATGTTTTCATAACTATTTTAATTTATATACAGGCTCTGAAGTTCCAGATGACTTCCTCTCAGTAACTGGCTCTAAGCTGAGTGCCTTTTTCTCCTGCCACACCCTTCTTCTGGCCCGAGCCTGAAGAAAGCTGTTTGCTACTGGCTGCAAAGGAGAAGCAGCTGGATTCAGTTGTTTCTCTACTGTTGGAGCAGAATTAAACTTCACTTGCTCCTTCCTTCCTTTTAAAAAATAAACATTATCTTTTAGAAAAAAAATACAAAAACCAGGTGGCTATGGGACACGGTGCTTATTATTTCAAGGCAGGGAACTACCATGGGGAGGAGGTTTCTTTGCCAAGCAAACACTAGTCCTTTGAACAAACAAGGACTTCCTTTGTGGAAGGGTCCTCTCCAATGGCCTCCTGGTAATTACAGGGCGAAGGGCCAGTCCACGGCAGGCTCTCTGGGGGTACCGTGATCTGGAGCAGAGATGTAGGGAGCTTCTAAGAGGAGGGATCTTCTCTAGAACCGTCTGCTCTTTAACGATGTGAAAAAGCAGCATTTTGAGAGGCAAGTCTCAAAGTAGAGGTGTTTTGTGCATCAGACAGTGTTTTATGGTTCAACATCCTTGAAAACATCTTTCCAGGCAATTCTTCAAGGGAGGGGTTAGTGTTAGGGAACAGATAATACTCCCTCTCTCTAGGTACTCCATATAAAGGTGAAATGCTGCAGTTTTTGCTCTTTTGAGTATTAATCTCTCCAAATTCACAAACTTGAGCATTGTTGTCTAAAGGTCTACCCTTCCTGAGCCCCTGCACACCGCCCCCCCCCCCCCAACCCCAGGGTAATGCTAGAGAACTCCTGGGTTTTGAAGCAGAGAGAGGTCCTGGGAAGCTGCTGCATAATGCCAGAACACAGAGCACCATGGACAGGACAACATGACATCCAGGCAGTTGCCTGGGGAGACGAGCAGGGACTGCCCTACCCTACTTCAATTTGGTCACGACTTCAATTTGGTCACTTCATTTGGCATGGTTTTCTCTCCTTGTCCATTTTTCTCATGTGCTTTTCATCCTTATCAGGATTCACTGCCCTCCCTACAGCCACCCCTTGAATCTAGGAGGGAGCATGGGAGGCCTGAGTCCCTCCTGGGGTAAAGAGGACAGACAGCTCCAGGTTGTTCTCCAGGTTCTGCCTGACAACAGGAGACCGGCCCTCTCTTGGCACTCCACCTGCAGCCTGAGAATGAAGAATGACCCACCACCTTAAACAGGCTACAGAAACAAATTGCTGCTCTTTGATCAAGGGGTCCCAAGTGCTGTCATGCTCTTTTCGGCTCAAGGGAGACATGTAACATGAGCAAGCCCCTCCCTCTGTGGTACCTGGGCAGGAGTGGCCAGAGGGGCTGAAGCAAACATTAGGCCAAATCTGGGGCAGGGAGGCACATGGGAACATGCCTTAGATAGTGTCCTTTTTGAAAAACAGGAGCGTTCACAGTTAGGTTCTTTTTGCTTTCCTCTCAATCCCTGCTACATTAAATGTTTCTTGGGGTGAGAAAACTTTCCTGGCTGCAAATTAGATTTTAGAAAAGAGCAGATTGCCAATGATAGCTATTTAAGTTTTATAAGAATGTAGGAATGCAATTATGTAAAAACTTATGCTTACTAACTTTCCAATTGCTAGATCTATTTAAAGTCTAGGCACTTAGTGTGTGTGTGTGTGTGTGAGAGAGAGAGAGAGAGAGAGAGCGCGCGCGAGTGGCAGAGACAGAGAGACAGACAGAGAGAGGTAAAGAGGAAAGAGAAGGATAGGGAAGGAGAGAGAGAGAACTTCAAATGGATTAAGACTAAATTAATCACGTTGCTACAGAAAACTACATATCATATTAGTTTACATTCCAAGTAACACTGCTGACCTTGACATTTAAAATAGCCCCCTTCTATCTTATGATTCAAAAGAGATGGACCATTATTAATTCTCAACTAGAAAAAAAGTTACTCCCTGGAAGAGAGATATTTGCCTAAATCGTGCAAGAATAAATAGCACATCTTTTAAAAAAGATAGCAGGCTTCAGATGAAAAGTTAATTCATCTGACTAGTTTTTAAAAGACCACATTCAAGAATGACTGATGATAAATGTCTACTTGTAAACACTACATCTTTGTTTTTTGCACAGTTGAGACAGTCCCAGGGACAGTTTTCCACAAGTGAACCTGAGTGTCATTCTTAGCTCTCTCACTCGCTCTACACCGGCCTCCTCCAGCAACAACTGGATCACCCCGGACCTGTAATTAAATCAATTATTTCCTAGACGAAAGTAAAAGGTTAGATGCTGGAGTAGAGATGGGAGAAACTGTCAAAGAAAGCTTGTGAACATGCAGAGGAGGTGGATGATTCGAGGGTTTCCAGTCTTCTGCCCCACACTGCGTCTTCTCCCTGCCTGCTCCCTCCTGGCAGACGGCTCTGGCACGCCACTCCTTGCTCGCAGGGAGTCCTGGCCCCAGCATCAAATGCAGGTCCCAGGCTGCGCAGGGGGCTGCTGTTTTCGGTTTCTCACTGCTCCTGACTTCTCTTTGTATACTACTGGCATCTGCTGAGAAATGTCCACCAGGGCACTGGCCACTGCGAGCCCTTGGGAGAACCCAAAGAAGGAACACATGTTAAGGAACAGCTTGCTTTTATTTAGAAAATAATTGAAAAAATTTCTTTTTACATTCCCCTGGTGCAATAAATAAATAAAAGTATATACACGGGAAAAACCTTACTTTTTTTTTTTTCATTTATTTTTATTAGTTGGAGGCTAATTACTTTACAATATTGTAGTGGGTTTTGCCATACATTGACATGAATCTTTAACCTGTATCTCCCTCCATATTCCCCCCTTCCATCAGAGTAACTGCTTTCATTAGTTTGTATATATTCTTTCAGGGTTTATTTGTACAAATACATATTTTCCTCCTCTTCCCCTTTTTACATAAAAGGAGTACCTTACCTTTTAGCAGATCAGCCAAGCAAAGTGCTCTGCCTAGTGGTGGAGCATTTAAGTAAGATTGCAGACATGCTTTAAGCACTACGTTTCACCTGTCTTTTTCTCCAAAAAAGCTGCACTATTTATGATGAAATTCAGATTCATTCCATACTGCCCAGCTAGCACTATTATTATTTTGATATCTATACCACAATAATAGTTAGGATAGACTCTGGGGCCAGACTTTGGAATAAGCAAGGTTCTTTAACCTCCCAGTGCCTCAGTTTCCTCATTTGTAAATGGGGAACAGCACAGGGCTTGTGTGAGGAGTCAGTGAGCAAACTGATGGGAAGTTTCAGAATGGTACCTGGTTTTCCACCTCCATTACCACCTTTGCTTTGGGGACTGGTGAGTCCATCTCCCTTCTGTATTGGTAATTGATTAATTTGATGTTCACTAGGGAAAGCACAATCCTGGGGAAGTTGGATTCTTATGTTTGTGAAAAGGCCAGACAGGCTCATAGCCCTGTTGAGGGCTCGAGGTGCCATGCTAGGGGTAAACCCTAGTCACAGCCTTCAGTAAAGAAAAGACATCCAGATTGGAAGGGAAGAAAACTGTCATTATCTGCATATGATAAGATACTATACACAGAAAAACCTAAAGTCTCCACCAAAAAACTATTAGAACAAATGAATTCAGTAAAGTTGTAGGATACAAGATTAGTACATGGAAATCTATTGCTTTTCTATACACTAATAAGGAACTACCAGAAAGAGAAAGCAAGAAAATAATCTCATTTAAAATTACATCAAACAGGATAAAATACCTAAGCATAAACTGAACCAAAGACTTTTAATCTGATAACTATAAAACATTTACAAAGGAATCTAAAAATAATACAAAGAAATGGAAAGACATCCCATGTTCTTGAACTAGAAGAATACTATTAAAATGTCCATACCATCTAAAGCAATCTACAGCATTAAGGCAGCCCCTATCAAAATAACCATGACATTTCCCACAGAACAAATAATCCTAAAATTTATATGGAACCACAAAAGACCCTGAATTGCCAACGCAATCTCATAAAAAAGAAAAAAGAATGAAGCTTGAGATATCATGCTCCCTGACTTCAGACTATACTAAAAAGCTAGAGTAATCAAAACAGCATGGCTTCCCAAGAAAAACAGACACATAGATCAGTGGAACAGAATAGAGAGCCATGAGAGAATAAAGAATAGAGAATAAATTCATGCACTTATGGTCAATTAATCTATGACAAAGGAGGCAAGAATATACAATGGAGAAAAATCTGTTCTATAAGTGGTTCTGGGAAAACTAGACCGCTACACGTAAAAGAACGAGATTAGAACATCTCCTCACACCACATATATAAAGACTGGAGTGTAAAACCTGAAACCATAAAGACCCCAGATGAGAACATAGGTAGAACACTCTTTATATAAATTGTAGTACTATTTCTTTGGATCTGTCAATAAAGCAAAAGAAATAAAAGCAAACATAAATAAATGTGACCTAATCAAACTTAAACGTTTTTTTCTTTTTAACTTTTCTTGAAACCCTGAGAAAATGAAAAGACAACCTATGAATGGGAGAAAATATTTGGAAATGATATGGCCAATAAGGGGTTAATATCTAAAATATATAAACAGCTCATAAATTCATCAAAAAACAAACAGCCGAATTAAAAAAATAGAAGACCTGAACAGACATTTTCCAAAGAAGCTAACAAGCAGCATAGAGATAGCTGACAGGCACATGAAAAGTTGCTCAATATCACTAATCGTAAGGAAAATGCAAATCAAAACCACGATGAGGTATCATCTCCCATCTGGCAGAATGGCTACCATCAGAAAGACCACAAATAACAAATGTCAGTGAAGATTTGGAGAAAAAGGAACCCTTGTATACTGTTGGTGGGAATGTAAATTGGTGAAGCCACTGTGGAAAACAGTATGGAATTTCCTCAAAAAACTAAAAGTAGAACTACCATATGATCCAGTAATTCCATTCCTGAGTATACATCCAAAGAAAACAAAAATACTAATTCGAAAAGATACATGCACCTGAATGTTCACAGCAATGGTTATAGCATTATTCATAATAGCCAAGATATGGAAGCAACCTCAGTATCCATAAATAGATGAATGGATATGAAGATGTGATATGTGTATACACACCCACCTACACATACACAAACACAATGGAATACTACTCAATTATAAAAAAGAATGACATTCTGCCATTTGCAATAATATGAAAAATCCTAGAGATTATTACACCTAGTGAAGTCAGAGAGAGAAAGAGAAATACTCCATGTTTTTACTTATATGTGGAATCTAAAATAAGAGAACAAACACACACATACATAATGAAACAGACTCACAGACATAGAGAACAAAGTGCTCGTTACCAGTGGTGAGAGGGAAGGCAGGAGGGGCAAGACAGGGGTATAGGATTAAGAGACACAAACTACTATCAAATATAAGCAACAAGGGTATGCTGTATAGCACCAAAATATAACCATTCTTTCTTTATTTAAAGAGTGGTTTTAGCTACAGAAGAATGGCTTGGATGTGGGGGTGGGGGGACAGGGGCTGGGGCTGTGATTTTAGAGGTCAAGGGCAGAAGAAGCTGACTACATAGGAGAGATGGCAGCTAAGACAAGACTGGAGATGTGGCAGAGTAAATGAAACAAAATGGAAGAGCGAGACTCCAGACGCAGGACTAGCAGAATTTGCCCATGAATTATATACGGAGAGGTGAGCACTGCCTAGGATGACCCTTTAGTTTCTGACTTGAGCAACTGGCTAAATTCCTCAGTAAAGTGAATTTCTTTATTGAGATGGAGATCAAATGACCAAACTGGTTGGAAAGATGCAAGCTCCATTCTGAACATTTTAGGTTTGATAAGACCTTGAAGCACAAGTGGACGGGTCATGTGGGCAATCTAATAACTGAGAATGAAGCTTGGTGAAGGGAACAGAATCAGAGATATGAACCTGCGAAAGACAGAAGGCAGAGGTTACTTAATACTGGGGACTATGAATTCACACTGAAAGAGCAAAAAAGCCCTGCGTTTGGCACAAGGAACCTTAAGGTGTAGAGACTGGAAAGGAGACTAGCCATTATTTTGTAATAACTTTAAATGTAGTACAGTCTATTAAAAATACTGGATCACACCTGAAAGTCTAGTATAATCTTGTAAATCTACTATACTTTAATAAAAATAAATAAAATGGGGAAACAGAGAAGGGGTTGGCAGAGATGGTCCCATCCTACTGGTAGGTCTCAAGCAGTGAGCAGGTCTTCATCAGATTGGGACACATAAGGCAAAGTCTGGAGCAGGGAAGGCCACAGTGTTGCAAGTCTGTCATCCCTGCACCCCCAGCACCTTGCCCTTGGGGAGCACCAGTCAATGTCTGCTTAGCTGGGCACTGACAGAAGACACTGCTCCAGAGCATCACGTTAATGGGCCCTTCTGCCCTTGACATGGACAAAGCCAAGTTAGGGGCTCAACTTACTGAAATCCCTAGATGAGGGCAAATCAAGCCATTCACTTATGAAATGAAGACAATAAACCCTGACCTGGCCATGTCTAATGTCCTCCCTCATGAGAACATCACAGACCCAGACCAGAGGCCTGCAGGATCACTGCAACTGAAAGCTGTCTAAAACATTTCTATTATTTGAGGCATCCCTTCAAAGTACTCCATGATTCATCAAGATACTTCCCAAACTGTATTCCACATTTTCCTTGTGTAAAAGAATGTTTATCAATTATGATTCATGTATTTGATGGAGCGGTGTAAAAGATGGGTAAGATATTATATAGCAAGTTATAAAAATGTTTAAGATAGTTACATGAAAAAAGAAGAATAAAAATAAGAGTTACACAATCACTGCAACTAAATTGATGATAAGGGCTGGGAAGGAAACAGAACAGTGAAAATAGGTGCTACAGTAATGCTAGAAATACCAATTTGAGAACCACTAGCTTGAAGGAGCTAGCTGGAAGCCATGGGAGTAAGATGACTGAGGAAGAGTGTATGGAGCACAGAGGGAGAAAGCCTACAGTTAAGGGACAGCAAAGAAAGAGATAGTAAAGGAGCAACACAGCCTGGGGGGAGGAAGCACTGGTGGCAAAGGAAGGTTTGGCTGGAAGCATTAACACCACTGGCAGGCTAAGGAGGCTGACCAAGTGAGGAGATCCAGATATTTTCCAGGAAGGAATGGTGACCTTAGAAAGAGGGGTTAAGGAATACAGGGGCAATGGGATCATCTTTCCAAATCCTCACAATGACACGAGGCAGGCACTACAGGCATACCTCATTTTATTGTGCTCACAGATACTGTGTTGTTTTTTTTTTTAAATCAAAGGTTTATGGTAACCTTGCATTGTCAGATAATAGTTAGCATTTTTAAAAAAAGTAACAAAGCATTTTTAAATTAAATGAATGATGAACCGTGTCTTTTTAGACATAATGCTATTGCATCTCAACAGACTACAGTATAATACAGACATAACATATGTACACTGGGAAAACAAAAAATTCGTGTGACTCACTTTCCTGTGATACTTGCTTTATTGCAGTTTTCTGGAACCAAACCTGAAATATCTCCTAGGTCTGCCTGAATGCAATATCACTTTTATAACCAAGTTCCCTATGAAAAAGAAGGAGTCTTCACACACCTAACACATAAACCTCATTTGTCAATAACCGTCATCTACTCACCGGACTGCCCAGGAGGAGGGATTCCACCGAGGCCTCGAGGGAGCCGTACAAACACAGAGAGAACAGCAGCTTTGTTACCAAAACACGGCTCCAGGGCGATGGGCTTGGGGACAGTCTGGTGGAAGAAAACAAAGAATTACCTAAAATGGTGTTCCCTGAGAAACACCTTCACAGCCTTTACATGTGATTTTTAAGACACCCCTTCGTTAGTTTCTATTGTTATGAAACATCAAACAAATCACAAACTTTGGAGCTTAAACAGCACCTATTTATTATCTTAATTTTTTAGGTCAGAAGTCCAGGTGAGAACTCTATAGGGTTCTCTGCTTAGGGATATAGGTCCTATTTATGTCTTCTATCAGTTCCGGAAAGTGCAAGTCACTCAGTCGTGTCTGACTGTGACCCCATGAATTATACAGTTCATGGAATTCTTCAGGTCAGAATATTGGAGTTGGTGGACTTTCCCTTCTACAGGGGATCTTCCCAACCCAGGGATTGAACCCAGGTCTCCCACATTGCAGGTGGCTTCTTTACCAGCTGAGCCGCTGGGGAAGCCCAAGAATACTGGAGTGGGTAGCCCATCCCTTCTCCAGCAGATCTTCAAGACCCAGGAATCGAACCGGGGTCTCCTGCACTGCAGGCAGATTCTTTACCAACTGAGCTATCAGGGAAGCCCCACCTCAGTTCAGGAAGAATTCTCAACTCTGTCTCACAAAGGTTCTGAGGGTCTCAGATCTTATCTTCAGAAGGTGGAACTCAAGTTATCAGCTGGGTTCCACTCCTACCAGGAGGCCCTGGGGAAGAACTAGCTTCAAGACTCATTCAATTCGTTGGCAGAATCTAGGTCCTCCAGGCTCTAGGTCTGAAGTCCCCATTTCCTTGCTAGCAGTTAGACAAGGGCCACTCTTCTTTTGGAGGCCGCTCATGTTCCTCTTCACAAGGTCTCTCCAGCATGAAACCAGTGATGGTGCTCAAGTACTTCTCATGGTTCCTCTTCTGCCACCAGTGAGAGAAAGTGTTCTCTATATTCTAATGTCAACTACCCTCAGACTTAAAAAAAAAAAAAACCAATTTAGCTGTGGTTCTCAGGCCCTACAGCATGCAGGCTTCAGTAATTGTGGCTCATGGGCTTAGTTGCTCCACAGCACGTGGAATCTTCCCCCATCAGGGATCAAACCCATGTTTCCTGCATTGGGAGGTGGATTCTTATCCACCGTGCCATCTAGGAAGTCCACGCTCAGACTTTAATTACTTCTGCAAAATCTCTTCACAGCAGAATCTGAAGTAGTGTTCGATTGAATAAACATGAGAGAGGAATCTTGGGGGCCATCTTCAGAATTATGCCATCAGTTTCTTCAAACTGGCTGAAGAAACTGCAGCGCAGGGAAATGACTAGATGAATGTAACGGCTGAAGTGGTGAAACCACTTATGACCCAGGTGGGAGATGATGGTGGCCTAGATCAAGGTGATAGCTAACAGTGGTGGAAGTGGTGGCACAGTAGTCAGGACATAGCTTTGAAGATAAAATCAAAAAGACTTGCTGACAGATGGGCTGTCCAGTGACGATGAGAGCAAGGACAAGTCAAGGATGATTTTGGCCTGAGCCACTATAATTGAGTTGGGGAAGTTATGCCAGAGGAGCAGGTGTGGGGAACAGTCTCTTGTTTTGAACATGTTAAGTTTGTTCAGAAGCTTATTAAGACATCCAAGTGGGAATACTGAGCCAGCAACCTGATGAGTTGGACACCCAGAGGAGATTTTGAGTGGAGAGCTCAGGGTAAAAAGGATAAAAAGATTGCTACTGTCTGAATATTTGTGTACTCCCAAAACTCATGTTATATTTTAACACCTAATGTTAATATTTGGAAGTGGGGCCTTTGGGAGATGATCAGGTCATGAGGGCACAGCCTCCATGAATGGGATTAGTGCCCTTAGAAAGAGACCTTGAGAGCTCCCTCACCCCTTCTACCACGTAAAACTACAGCTGGAGGGATTCCCTGATGGTTCAGTGGTTAGGACTCTGTGTTTTCACTGATGAGGGCCCAGGTTCAATCCCAGGTTGAGAAACTAACATTCCATGCAAGCTGCATGGTATGGCAAAAAAAAAAAAAAAAATTACAGCTAGAAAGTGCCATCTATGAATCAGAAAGCAAGCCTTCATCAGACACTCATCTGCCAGTACCTTGATCTTAGATTTCCCATTCTCCAGATCTGTGAGAAATTAATTTCTATTCTTTGTAAGCTACCCAGTCTCTGATATTTTGTTGTTAACACCCTGAACAGACTAGCAATAACCAAAAGTGCAGATGTAAAAGATGTGAAGTGAAGTGAAGTCGCCCAGTCGTATCCGACTCTTAGCGACCCCGTGGACTGTAGCCCACCAGGCTCCTCTGTCCATGGGACTCTCCAGGCAAGAATATTGGAGTGGGTGTGAGGAGAGGCCTAAAGACTGAGTCTGAGACAGCTGCCCACCATTAAAAGATGTTGGAAGATGAAGAGGGCTGACGAAGAATACACAGCACGAACGGCCAGAAGGTGAGTGTGTGGGGTCTTGACAAGAAATTCTAGACAGTGTTTTACTGACTGTGCTGCAGGCTGCTGAGTGTGACACGGGGTGTTACTAAGACTTGTCTATTCTCCTCAGTCCTACAAATTATCACTATTTTATCAGGACATTTTCTTAGATTTACACAGGTTTATCCGCTGATTTACTCACTACTGCTTCTTATTCCACCCTCCTGGGGTAATTTTCCTCCTTTCTAGCGCATCCTTTATATATTTCTTTCATACAGGTCTGTTGGTGGCAAGTACTCAGTTTTCCCCGCAGTCTGAAGACATCTTTATTTTATCCTTGTTCTTGAAAGGTAGGTACTAGGTACACTATTTGAGGTTGGCAGTTCTTCTCTTTCAATACTTGTAGCTTCTGAGAAGTCAGCTGTCAATCTGTCATTTCTTTGTACTAAACTTTTTTCCTCCTAGTTATTTTTTAATGTGGTAAAATACACATTACTTTGCTAGCATGTGAGATGAGTGCAATTGTGTGGTAGTTTGAACATTGTTTGGCACTGCTTTTCTTTGGGATTGGAATGAAAATTGACCTTTTTCAGTCCTGTGGCCACTGCTGAGTTTTCCAAATTTGCTGGCACGTTGAGTACAGCACTTTTTAACAGCATCATCATTTAGGATTTGAAATAGCTCGACTGGAATTCCATCACCTCTACTAACTTCGTTCGTAGTGATGCTTCCAAAGGCCCACTTGACTTTGCATTCCAGGATGTCTGGCTCTATGTGAGTGATCACACCTTCGTGATTACCTGGGTCGTGAAGATCTTTTTTGTATAGTCCTGCTGTGTATTCTTGCCACTTCTTCTTAGTATCATCTTCTGTTAGGTCCATACCATTTCTGTCCTTTACTGTGCCCATCTTTGCATGAATTGTTCCCTTGGTATCTCTAATTTTCTTGAAGAGATCTCTAGTCTTTCTCCTTCTATTGCTTTCCTCTATTTTGCACTGATCACTGAGGAAGGCTTTCTTATCTCTCCTTGCTATTCTTTGGAACTCTGCATTCAAATGGGTATAATCTTTCTTTTTCTCCTTTGCCTTTAGCTTCTCTGCTTTTCTCAGCTATTTTTAAGGTCTCCTCAGACAACCATTTTGCCTTTTTGCATTTCTTTTTCTTGGGGATGGTCTTGATCACTGCCTCCTGTACAACATCACAAACCTCTGTCCATAGTTCTTCAGGCACTCTGTCTATCAGATCTAATTCCTTGCATCTATTTGTCACTTCCACTGTATACCATAAGGGATTTGATTTAGGTCATGCCTGGATGGTCTAGTGGTTTTCCCTACTTTCTTCAATTTAAGTCTGAATTTTACAATAAGGAGTTCATGATCTGAGGCACAGTTGGCTCCCGGTCTTGTTTTGCTGACTACATAGACCTTCTCCATCTTTGGCTGCAAAGAATAAAATCAATCTGATTTCAGTATTGACCATCTGATGATGTCCATGTGTAGACTCTTCTCGTGTTGTTGGAAGAGGGTGTCTCTCTTTGGCTCTGTCTCTTCATTCTTTCTGGAGTTATTTCTCCACCCTTCTTCAGTAGCATATTGGGTACCTATCAACCTGGGAGTTCATCTTTCAGTGTCATATCTTTCTGCCTTTTGATACTGTTCATGGGGTTCTCAAGGCAGGAATACTGAAGTGGTTTGCCATTCCCTTCTCCAGTGGACCACATTTTGTCAGAATTCTCCACCATGATCTATCTGTCTTGGGTGTCCGTACAAGGCATGGCTCATAGTTTCACTGAGTTAGACAAGGCTGTGGTCCATGTGATCAGTTAGATTAGTTTTCTGTGACTATGGTTTTCATTCTGTCTGGCCTCTGAAGCATAAGATGAGTGAGACTGCACTCATCTCACACGCTAGCAAAGTAATGCTCAAAATTCGTCAAGCCAGGCTTCAACAGTACGTGAACTGTGAACTTCCAGACGTTCAAACTGGATTTAGAAAGGGCAGAGGAACCAGAGATCAAATCGCCAACATCCTTTGGTTCATCAAAAAAGCAACAGAGTTCCAGAAAAACATCTACTTCTGCTTAATTGAATACACCAAAGCCTTTGACTGTGTGGATCACAACAAACTGGAAAATTCTTGGAAGAGATGGGAATACCAGACCACCTCACCTGCCTCCTGAGAGATCTGTATGCAGGTCAAGAAGCAACAGTTAGAACTGGACATGGAACAACAGATTGGTTCCAAATTGGGAAAGGAGTACATCAAGGCTGTACATTGTCACCATGCTTATTTAACTTATATGCAGTTCAGTTCAGTTGCTCAGTTGTGTCTGACTCTGTGACCCCACGGACTGCAGAACGCCAGATTTCCCTATCACCATCTGTCAGAGCTTACTCAAACTCATATCCATTGAGTCAGTGATGTCATCCAACCATCCCATCCTCTGATATCCCCTTCTCCTCCTGCCTTGAACCTTTCCCAGCATCAGGGTCTTTTCAAATGAGTCAGTTCTTTGCATCACATGGTCAAAGTATTGGAGCTTCAGCTTCACCATCAGTCTTTCCAATGAATATTCAGAACTGATTTCTTTTAGGATGGACTGGTTGGATCTCCTTGCAGTCCAAGGGACTCTCAAGAGTCTTCTCCAACATCACAGGTCAAAAGCATCGGTTCTTCAGCGCTCAGTTTCCTTTATAGTCCAACTTTCACATCCATACATGACTATTGGAAAAACCATAGCCTTAACTAGATGGGCCTTTGTCAGCAATGTAATGTCTCTGCTTTTTAACATGTTGTCTAGGTTGGTGATAGCTTTTCTTCCAAGGAGCAAGCGTCTTTTAATTTCATGGCTGCAGATACCATCTGCAGTGATTTTGGAGCCCCCAAGAATAAAGCCTCTCAGTTTCCATTGTTTTCCCATCTATTCGCCATTAAGTGATAGGACCAGATGCCATGATCTTAGTTTTCTGAATGTTGAGTTTTAAGCCAACTTTTTCACTCTCCTCTTTCACCTTCATCAAGAGGCTCTTTAGTTCTTCACTTTCTGCCATTAGGAGTGGTGGCATTTGCATATCTGAGGTTATTGATATTTCTCCTGGCAATCTTGATTCCAGCTTGTGCTTCATCCAGCCCAGCATTCCGCATGATGTACTCTGCACATAAGTTAAATAAGCAGGGTGACAATATAGAGCCTTGATGTACTCCTTTCCCGATTTGGAACCAGTCTGTTGTTCCATATCCAGTTCTAACTGCTGTTTTTTGACCTGCATGCAGATTTCTTAGGAGGCAGGTCAGGTGGTCTGGTGTTCCCATCTCTTTAACTGTATTTTCCACAGTTTGTTGTGATCCACACAGTCAAAGGCTTTGGTGTAGTCAATAAAGCAGAAGTAGATGTTTTTCTGGATGTTTGGACTACAAGGAGATCAAATCAGTCAATCCTAAAGGAAATCAGTCCTGAATATTCATTGGAAGGATTGAAGCTGAAGCTGAAGCTTCAATTCTTCAGCCACCTGATGTGAAGAACTGACTCATTGGAAAAGACCCTGATGCTTGGAAAGACTGAAGGCAGAAGGGTTTGACAGAGGATGAAATGGTTGGATGGCACCCCCGACTCGATGGACGAGAGTTTGGGCAAGTTCCGGGAGTTGGTGATGGACAGGGAAGCCTGGTGTGCTGCAATCCATGGGGTCAAGATTTGGACACAACTGAGCAGCTGAACTGAACTGAAAATACACATAACATAAAAATTATTATCTTAACCATTTTTTTTACAGCACTTTCTTTGGCTGCATCAGGTCTTAGTTGCAGCAAGCAAGATCTTTGGTCTTTGTTGCAGCATGCCGGATCTTTTAGTTGTGCCGATTGGACTCTTAGTTGCACCAAGCACATTCTTAGCTGCAGCATGAGGGACTACTACAGTTCCCTGACAGAGGATGGAACCCAGGCCCACTGTATTGGGAACACGGAGTCTTAGCCACTGGACCACCAGGAAAGTCCCTATCTTAAACCATTATTTAGGTATACATTTTAGCAGTGTTATATGGTGCAACCATCACCACCATCTATTTCCTAAACTCCATCTGGGAAAACTAAAATTTTATACCCATCAAATTGCAACTCCCCCTTCCTTCCTCTCCCCAGACCTTGGCAACTATCATTCTATTTTCTAGGAATTTGACTTCTCAAGGTACCTCACGAGTGAAATCATACAAGTGTTTTTTTTGTGACTGGCTTCCTTCACTTAGCATAATGTCTTTAAGGTTCACCTACGTTCAGATATATAGCATGGGTCAGAGTTTCCTTTTTAAGGCTGAGTGAACCTCCATTGTATGTATATACCATATTCTGTTTATCCATTCATATGTCAATGAACACCTGGGTTGGTTCCAACTTTTAGCTACTATGAATAAAGTTGCTATGCACATGGTGTACAAATACATTGTCAAGACCCTGCTTTCAATTCTCTAGGATATATACTGAGAAATGGGATTGCTAGATCATACATAATTCTATCTTTACTCTTTTGAAGAAGAGAAATACTGTTCCCCACAGTAGCTGCATCATTTTCATCCCCACTAACAGTACACAAGGGTTTCAACTTCTCCACATTGTACTGATCTTTTTCTGTCTTAGCTAATTTTAAGATGTTCTCTCTGTCTTTGGAGTTCCACAGTTTCACTATGATAAATCCAACTGTAGTTTTCTTTCTCTCCTACCTTTCTTCTGCTCTTTTTCCTTACCTTTCTTCTGCTCTTTTTCCTTACTCTTGCTTACAATATGTTTTGTTAGAATCTGAATTATGTCTCCCATCAGTTCTGGAGAATTCTCAGCTCCTAGAAAACTGCCTCTCCTCTATTCATTTGTTCTGCGACTGTAATAATATATATGTTAGGTCTTCTCATTCTATCCTCCATATTCTTAATTATCTGTCATATTTTTCCATCTTCTTGTCTCTTTGTTCTACATTCTGTGTAATTTCTTCAGAGTCATCTTCCAGTTCAAAAACTCTTTCGTCAGTTGTCTCTGATGTGCTGTTTAACACATAATCTGAGTCTTTAAAAAATTTCAACTACTATATTTTCCATTTCTCTAACAGTTCCATTTGGTTCTTTTTCAGGTCTGCTTGGCCATTCTTGACTCTTACGGCTTCCTCATCTTTATGATTCCATCTTTCAGTTCTTTAAACATTTCATATAGAGCTATACCATATTCATTATATGTCAATTCTGTTGTTTCTGCTGATTCTTACTCATGGCTTTTCTCTTTTGTCCTTGGTGACCACTGATTCTGAGGTCTTGATCTGTGGGACTCCCACATAGCTGAATTGGGTCTGTTTTTCCTCAGTCAGGATCGACATCTACTTCAGCTGAGAGACTAGGTATCTTATCAATCTAGAACCACTTTAGACCATGCATGGTGGTGGTTTGGGTTCACGGTTTATTCTTTTCTGGAGGAGGAAAAGGAAAATGATCCCTGGAAATCTCACATGCTTCCTGTAGGGTCAGTAATGCTTCAGTAAGTATGTTAGGACATACATGCACACAGACATACACATACACATATACATACATATATGTGTCTGTGTATATAATATATATCTCCAGAGACACAAAATTGTTTCCTAAGGGTATCTGAACTATTTCATCATTTTGTTAAAAGAGAAAGTCTTATTATTTTCTTCATAATGGTGGAGGTGTTAGAATTCTTTATTTTCCACGGAATTCATAGTCAATTATGACTTTTTGCCCTTTAAAAAATCTCCTAAATACTTTTAAAGGACAACAGTTCAATTCAGTTATTTTCAAGTTTTCAAGTATTATGCCACATAAAACTTAAAAGAATACCAGACAAGTTATTTAAATTTTAAAATTCCCTGAATATAAGACTACTTAACAACATGAAATAAATATTGGAAAATGAAAGCAAAAGAATACCTGACAGTTTCAGTGTGCTGACTTATTGCTAAGAAGAAACAAAGAAGACAAAGTAAGAGGTAACAGGATGAGGCTCTTGCCCTCTCTGGTTCCTCAGATTGAGAAGCATGAGGTTTGATAAGTTAAGTTACAGGGATTTTTGAAATATAATCTCACCTTTATACTCCCCCCAATAAGATCAGGAGGCTCTTCATCTGTTTCCAAGGCAACATTCACAGAGGCAAAGGGACGACTGGCCATCTGCTGCATCTCTCGAAGAAGTTGCTGATGAGTAATACAGCAACCATTAATGCAAAGAGTACTGAGGGGATTTTATTAGAGAATACTACATCTTAAAAATAGCTCATCTTCCCTGATTCAAACAAATCAATTCCAAAATGATATTTCTGAGACAGCTGGGGAAAACTGGACATGAACCAAGTATTACCTTTTTAATTTTGTTGACTATGATGACAATATTGTCATTACAGTAAAGAAAAATTCCTTATCTGTTAGAGATACATATTAATGTATTGACGGATATAATGCTATGATGCCTGCTTGTTAAGTATGTAAATTATCCTATTTCCTCATATTTTTATTACTAGATTAAAGCCAGGCTTTCTTTTTTCCTGCTGAAACTTGGACCAAATACTTACACAGCAACAAAAACTATCCTTTGTTACACAGTATCCAGGGACTGAAAGAGCGCTTTATTCAGAGAGGTGGTATAAACTAAACACATAAAATATATGAAGTTTTGCAGAGCAGAGGGACAAGTAAGGGCTCTGGATTCAGGTAGGCTTGGATATGAATACCTGCTCCAATTCTTTCCAGCTGTGTCATGTTAAAAAGTTATTTAAAGTTTCTGGGCCTTAGTTCCCTCCTCTCTAAAATGGAGTTTTAATCCCATAAAAGTATCAGTAGGATTAAATGAGATGCTTTAACTAGCACAGTTCCTAGCTTATGGTGTGTAGTCAATTATATATCATTAGGGATATCAGAGATTTGGGCATGTCACTGAAGCTCTGAGGTCATGCTGTGGAAGACAATGAGGCCTTACTTAACTACTTCCTTGAAACTATTTTAGAAACAGAATCTTGGGCTGGATAGATCATGGCTATGTTTTAGAATGGCATTTCTGTTTCAGAAACAGAATGTTCTGTTTTAGAAGGGCATTTTTAACATTAAACATTTTGTTAAATATCAATAATCATATGCCTACATCTCACAAAGCTATTAGTCCATTTACTCAACGAATACAAATAACAATAATCCTCCTCTAGATTCTGTGCTAAGTGTGGAGTCACAGTGAGACAGAGTGCCTACCCTGCTTCCAGTTCCCAGTCTTGCTCCTTTTTGACAAGTGCAGGAGATAATGTGAGTAAAGGCCCTTTAAAATAGGGCCTGGTATGTAGCAATGACTTAAGCAGTATTAGATGCTATTATTTCTGTTGTTATAAATAATATCAAATCATTCTTCTACAGTTCTGAGAGGGATAAATCATGAATGATATTTTAGAAAAGATGAAATATATTCTGAATGGACAGGTTCACAGTAACAGAGAAATTTTAAATCACAAAGGTAAAAGCTTAGTTTACTGGTTGATCAACTGTATAATTAGTATACTTTTTTTGGGGAAACCTGTTTTCTACTAAGTGTTCACCTCATTTTCTTTCATGTATGTTGCGATTATTTTCCAGTTGATTGTTTGTCTTCTACATCATTCAATTATTTTTACGAACTTTATTTTTATACATGTTTCTATGATGTTTCAATAATCGTATCTGAAAACAATAATTTTGTCCCCTTTCTAAAAGGAATAAAACTTCTTATTTTTCTTTCTCTTAGTGCAGAGTCTAGAACATCCAGAACAAAACTAAGTGACCACTGGGACTACATGATGGTTGGAAGAAACATGGCCTTTGAAGACAGAAGTCTTAAGTTTAAAACATAGTTTGGTGTCTTTAAATAACTGTGTGATGATGGGTAAGTTATTTTGCCTCTCTGAGCCTTGGTTCCTTCATTTGTGAAATAGGAGTAGTATCAGTAACTATTTTATAGCTTGCTGTAAGGATTAAATTACTTAATACAAAACCTCTTAGAACAGTGCCTACAACTTGGAAATGCTCAAATGTCAGGTTTTTTTTCTTTTTTGTGTCAGTTCTTAATATGACTAACTTATCTGGATTTTATTGGGTACAACCTTGAGTATTTTTTCATCATGAGTGATGCTCGTTATCTGGTTATTTCTCAAAGTGTTGAGGAGGTATTATTTTTGAGTTTACTGAGAGTTTTGTTTTTAAACTAGGATGAGTGCTGATATTAATAAATGATTAAATGATTACTTGGCCACTACTGAAAATTTAGGGTGTTTTTTTTTACACCCATGGATATAACATATCCTAGTAGGTTCTCTGGTATGAAATGATCCCTTTACTACACGGTAAACTAGATAGCTGCACATTACAGTCATTAGGCGACTGGTCTTTACTTTTTGGTGCTACCTTTCTCAAGTTTTGGTTTCAAGGTTTCTATGCATAAAATGAATCAGGATTCTTTTAAATTTCCCAACTTTTCCTTTACTCTGGAAACATTTATTTTTTTGAAATAATTAAATACCCAAGGAGGAATAGACTATTATCTCCATAAGTTCATCTCAAATTAAAACTGCCTGGGTCTAATAGCCTTTGTGGAAAGAGTAATAATTTGACTCTCTCAAAATAAGTTTTTGATTCTTTCCCTGGTACTAGTTTACGTGGTTTCTTACTTCTTTATTACACATTTGGATAACTTATTTTTTTCAGAATGCTGCATAATTTGTTGAGATTTTAAAATGTCTTAGTAATAGAGCTATTAAAAAAACCTCTGAATATGTTATCCACTGAAGTTTTAAAATGATCATAAAGAGGATGCAACATTACCTCTATGAAAAAAAAAATCACCTTTACATGGGTCAGAAAAGGTGTCATGGCCCCACTGTTCATGTCATGAACAGTGCTGAGGGTTTGGGTATTTTGAGTCTAGATATTTCTCTCCTCTAAATCTTTCTATAGATCAATTTTTATATAGAAAAAAGCATGAATAGGTATAGAAGATCAAAGAGCACAAAATCCAGATATTAGTGCACTTCTATTTAGCAACAATGCAACAGACGTGATGACTAAAAGGCAGAGTAATAACACATGTGAAAGTTTCAATAAACAGCTTTTGTGTTGTAATTTTTAATCACGTTTATTTATTTGACTTGCCAATTATAAATATTTGTTTGACTTATTAATGTTACTTTTGGAATGGAGCTCTGGAAATAAATCAACACTAAAAAATAAAACTCAAGCAAATACTTAGACACACATTTATCTTTCCTTGAATAATGAGAAATTTTTGAGATGCTTAAATGGCTGATTTTATTCTCATTCCCATGAAAGGCTCCTGTAAAAGCTCTGCTTTATTTACTAAGCCTTCAGATCTCCAGCCTGAGTTAAGGAACCAGGGTCTGGTAGAAAGGGTAAAACTGAGTCAATACAATCCTAAAAGCTTCTTTTTAGACAGTCAAAACCACGTGGTGCAGAATTAACATAGCTTATATAGCACTAATTGAAGTCTACTGACCATATATTACTCTCTATCACTACACAGCTAAAACTGACATACTTAAAGGAAATATGAAGGAAAAAGCTCCTATAGGGATTCATTAATCTTTATTCACTGAGGCTTACCTCTCTACGTCTGGAAGCCCAACAACTTTGTTTGATCTTCCAAACCACAGCAGCCACCAGGAGCAAAGAGAGGAAACAACTGTAAGAAAGGAAAGTAGTGAGTTATTATCCCAGCCCCCGGAATCAGCATGCTGTCGTCCACACCTCAGGTCAGTCAGGGACACAACCCCCCGAATACCCACGCCAAGCTCCTCTCTGCTGAGTCATCACAACCACGTCCTGGTTCAAAGGAAACAAAGTATGAGAAGGAGCGTTCCGACCCAACCAGCAGCCAATGCTATCTCCACAAGGCCTCCCGGAGGAGAGCCCTGACCTTCTGCCAGGCCTTTATCAGAATGACCCAAGTGATAATTCTACCATAATTATAACCAGTAACAAGCACCCTACTTAATCAAATCAGCAAAAATTTACTGATAAAGCCTAAAATCATGAGAAAAGTTAATTATCGAAGTAACAATCAGCTTTTCATAAGGAAGATGTAAACTGAGAATAAGCTTATACATAACAATATGTATTCAAAGTAAATACATATTTTATAAATAAAATAAAACAACCAAATTCAAGCCAACAGCTTTCTTAAAGATTAGGATAGACTAAGTCCCAGTGGTCTTATAACTGCAAATGATTTTAATGTTCTCTCATCAAAAGCTACTGTGACAGGAAAGAGAAAGACTGACTTCTGATTAAAAGGAGTAATGAGCCTAACAAATAAACCTCTTAGGTAGCTGTTTAAATAATTTAAAAATTGGCATTTTCACTCATTAATTTGTACAGTGTACTGTTCCAGAGTGTTACAAGCAGATACAAGGCTCTCTGCCCCTGCAGTCGGGTACTCTTTGTTGAGATCTGTGTTTGCAGGATGGGGTTGGCTTTGCAGAGGCAGCTTCAGTGCACATTACTGAAGATAGGCTGCCCTAGTTGGCTGGTGACAGGCTCCTTAAGGTACTAGAGGACTGAACTTCTGCCCTTTAAGAAACAGAAATTAAGCCTTCCTCAGCCCACCACTTTCCCGAGAGGCACATAGTGCAGACCCCTTCAATGGGTACCCTGGCAAAAGAGAAGCACCTCCACCCCCCACCCAGATCACCACTCAGTGGAGAATCTTCAGCTCCTATCTTGTTGGGCCCCTCGGTTGTGCTGACATTGATGATCCTTCCATCTCTCTGATGGTTTCTGTTTTTCTTTTTATACAGTACTTTACTGATGCAGATCCTGTTCCAGGCTCATGGAATACATCAATGAACAGAACAAAGGACCACTTTCCCCATGGAGGCAAACAGTAAATAAAGTGAGCAAATTATAGAGCATGTTAGAAAGGAGTAAATACTACACAAATAAAAAGAAGGTAAGGGTAAGGAGGTTCAGGAGTGACAGCAGTACTCTAAAGCTGAATGGTTGGAATGGGTGGACCTTAACTCTTTAGAAGGTAACATGTGAGCTAAGACGTGGAAGATATGTGGGAGATGGCTCGTAAAGGTCTGCAGAAATGCACCTGGGCAACTGGGATCAGCTAGTGCAAAGCCCGAGGCAAGGATGTGACTGGGATTTCTTGAGGAACCTCAGGAGGCTGGAGTGGGAGGGGGCAGTTATGCCAGGGATAAAGACAGAGGTGAGAGAAGGGCAGATCATGAGGACCCTCAAGCCATCATAATGGTGTTGGCTTTTACTGAGTGAGATGAGCCACTGAAGGTTTTTGAGCAGAGAAGTATCATGATTTAATTTATACTGAGGAGACCATTAAGGTAGCAACTCAGAAATAGAAATAACAGGAGTCTAGGTAAGAAATGAGGGTGGCTCAAACCAGGATGATGGTAGCAGGGGTATGAAAAGTACTTTGGAATCTGGACATGAAGGTCAAGACAGCAGGATTTCCTGACGGGCTGGATGTAGGGTACAAAAGAGAGAAGTCAGTGTGTGGGGCCTGAGGAACTTGTCATCAACCTATTCAGGGAAGATTCTGGGGGGAGCAGTTGTGAGATAACGGTGAGTAAAGGTTTAGACATGCTGAGTTCTGAGACAGCTACCTGAAAGCTATGGGGAGATTTCATAAGTTGATACTTAAACCTCAGGGCTGGGTGTCAGGTTTGGGCTGGAGACAGCTTGAGTCATCAGCATACACCGTGGTATTTGAAGTAATGAATCTGCATGAGGACGTCAAGGGAATAAATACAAATAGAGAAGAGTGTCTTGAGGGCACCCCAACACTGAGAAGTTAGGGAGGACAGGAAGAAGAAGTAAAGGAGTCTGAGAAGAGTAACCTTCTCAGTCTTTCATGGTTTCTATGTATAATCCTGCCCCACCTCCATAATCCTGCTTTTTGTTAATTTTACTCAAATAGATAAACACAAGAAGGCAGCAAACCTACACGGAAGAACATGAAACAAGGGAGTTGCTCCAGATGCTGCTGATTGCAGCTGAACCCAGGGTGGCCTCAGAGGCCTCTCCTAGACTACTCTCAACACAAAATTGTGAAACAGAGCAGCTCAGAAGGTCTGTGCCCTTTATTAGGAGCTTTTGTCATCAGTGTGGGCCTGTTAAAAATACCAACAACGCAGTTTCTTCCACCTGTACCAGCTTTTTTGAGACACAAACGGCACACCAACAGACAATGAGCATCCTTCAACGCTGTTACATGCATGGTTTCTCCTCGGGTAACACAATAATGAAGAATTTACTCGTTATTTAAAAAAAGGTGGCACTTGCTGATACCCTCCTTCTTTTCTTTCCCCTACCACTAATCTGGGTACAGGTGGGGCTGTGACTCAGTGTTTATCTTTCTGAAGTCTCTCTTATCAATGGTTTTCTGTAATTTTAAATACATTTACAAATGTAAGTTTTTAAAGTGTTAGTCGCTCAATTGTGTCTAACTCTTCATGACCCCATGGACTGCAGCACACCAGGCTCCTCTCTCCATGGAATTCTCCAGGCAAGAACACTGGAGTGGGTTGCCATTCCCTTCCCCAGGGGATCTTCCTGATCCATGCATCAAACCCAGGTATCCTGCATTGCAGGAAGATTCTTTACCATCTCAGTCACCAGCACAAACAAAACCTGTGAGAAACAGGATCCAGGGGGAAGGAGCAGTGACTGCACAAGAGACTAAGTAAGACTTGCCTGTGAATGTTTAGGAGTCTCCAGCAGAGGAATGGGTCAGCAGTGGCTTGCCATGAGGTCAGGCATGCCTGGGAGGCATGGTGTGTTGGCGAAAGTCCTTTTGGAGGAGATCACCATTAGCCCTACTATAAAGCCTACAGCCCTACCATAGAGACTGCAGACCCTAGGACTGTGCTGCTTCAGGTCAAACTACAAGAGAGGGAGCACAGCTCCACCTATTAGCAGAAAATTGGATTAAAGATTTACTGAGCATGGCCCTGCCCACCAGAGAAAAACCCAGTTTTCCCCACAGCCAGTCCTTCCCATCAGGAAGCTTGCACAGGCCTCTTACCCTCATCTATTAGAAGGGAGATAGAATGAAAACCACAATCACAGAAAACTAACCAAAATGATCACTTGGATCACAGCCTTGTCTAACTCCATGAAACTGAGCCATGCTGTGCAGGGCCACCCAAGAAGGACATGTCATGGTGGAGAGTTCTGACACAATGTGGTCCACTGGAGAAGGGAATGGCAAACCACTTCAGCATTCTTGCCATAAGAACCCCATGAACAGTATGAAAAGGCAAAAAGATACTACACTGAAAGATGAGCCCCTCCCCCTTGCCCTGGTCAGTAGGTATCCAATACGCTACTGGGGAAGAGCAGAGAAATAGCTCCAGAAAGAATGAAGAGGCTGAGCCAAAATGGAAACAACACCCAGTTGTGGATGTGTCTGGAGGTGAAAGTAAAGTCAGATGCTGTAAAGAACAATATTGCATAGGAACCTGGAATGTGAGGTTCATGAATGAAGGTAAATTGGATGTGGTCAAACAGGAGATGGCAAGAGTGAACATTGACATTTTAGGAATGAGTGAACTAAAATGATGGGAACGGGCACATTTAATTCAGATGACCATTATATCTACTGCTGTGGGCAAGAATCCCTTACAAGAAATGGAGTGGCCCTCACAGTCAACAAAAGAGTATGAAATACAGTACTTGGGTGCAACCTCAAAAACAACAGAATGATCTCGGTTTGTTTCCAAGGCAAACCATTCAACATTACAGTAATGCCCCAAGCATTACTTGGCAATGCCAAGCCTATGCCCCAACCACTAATGCCAAAGAAACTGAAGCTGAATGGTTCTATGAAGACCTACAAGACCTTCTAGAAATAACATCAAAAAAAAAGAGAAAAAAAAGCTGTCCTTTTCATCATAGGGGATAGGAATGCAAAAGTAGGAAGTCAAGAGATACCTGGAGTAACTGGAGTACAAAATGAAGCAAAGCAAAGGCTAACAGAGTTCTGCCAAGAGAACGCACTGATCATAGCAAACGCCCTCTTCCAACAACACAAGAGATGACTCTACATATGGACATCACCAGATGGTTAATACCAAAATCAGACTGATTATATTCTTTGCAGCAGAAAATGGAGAAGCTCTATACAGTCAGCAAAAACTGGACCCAGAGGGTCCAGTGGTTAGGACTCTGGGCTCCCAAAGCAGGGGTCCCAGGTTTGATCCCTGGTTGGGGAACTAGATCCCACATACCGCAACTGGGACCCAGCACAGCCAGGAAGAACAAAACAAAACAAAAACCAGGACCTGGAGCTGACTGTGGCTCAGATCATGAGCTCTTATTGCAAAATTCAGGCTTAAATTGAAGAAAGTAGGGAAAACCTCTAGGTCATTCAGGTAAGACCTAAATCAATTCCCTTACAATTATACAGTAGACATGACAAATAGACTCAAGGAATTAGATCTGATAGACAGAGTGCCTGAAGAACTATGGACGGAGGTTCATAACATTGTACAGGAGGCAGTGATCAAAACCATCCCCAAGAAAAAGACATGCAGTAAGGGAAATGGTTGTCTGAGGAAGCCTTACAAACAGTTGAAAAAAGAGAAGCTAAAGGCAAAGGAGAAAAAGAAAGATATATCCATCTGAATGCAGAGTTCCAGAGATTAGCAAGGAGAGATA